CCTGTCACCCAAATAGGAAGTCTGGGGAAGTCTTGACAATGACTGCAATAAAAGTCTGTCAAAAGATTTAACTCTTTTCTTCTCAAAACATTGAAAGACGTTTTAGTTGGAGATGAGCTTAATCCTGTCAGTCTTTAATGGCTGCCATTGACTTTGTTATCTGAAAGCCCAGCATGCTTTCCAAACTAAGTGTCATGTAGGTACCCTGTAATAAATATTTGCTCAAATGGATATTTAATATGATTAAGAATATTATAAACCTGTAAATATTAGAATTAGTTTTTTTTTACCTAATTCCAGTGTAAATTTCCCTTTAGACAAGCAATGGGGTCATCTGACAATGGGTAAAACCACCATTTGAGTTAATATTATCTACTGCTTGTTTACTCATGGAAAGCTGGAATCAACTTTGACTGTTAAAATATTACACTTTCTATACATTTATACAGAGCTGGAACAGGAATCCTGTGAATAGATTGATGTATATTTTCCATTATATGGAGATGACATATAAAATGTATAAAAATGTGTGAGAGATGTTTTTGATGAAAAGCAGGAGAAAATTTTATGCAGCTGAGCACCAAAAATGCGAAACATTTACATTTAACACTCCTACTCACATCTATTCATATAATGCAAAGTGATGAGTATTTTATCCTGAGCTCACATGGTTCCCCTATCTCACCTGCAAACAAAGATTTACTTGATGAATGACATATTCCACTCTTGTAAAGCATGTGATTTATAAACATATGAAAGTGGGGAAAATGCACTGAATGACATTTTTCTACTAACAGCTTTTATATTCAAGTCAGCTACTTGACATGGGACAACATGCATATTTCATACGGTTTTCCAGTGCTTTAAGAAAGCCAGCCTGCATAACTGAGCCTCTCCTTGTGTACACCTTCCAGTTTATACTGTATGTGTATGATGTCTAAAGGAGATAAATAGTGATGGACAACAATGTAGATTATGTAAAATTCACAGTACTTGTCCTTTTAGCTGATGTTATTTAAAGTTGAATTAAATTCTTAAACTTTTTTTTCAATATTGAATCCAGATCCATTTCTTTAACGTTTTCCCAAACACTTAGGCCTTGTTCACACCAAATGCAGAGCAGGTCCGGTCAGGTTTCTGCACACGCACACTAGTCTTTTAGATGCGTTTTTGACGCGTTATTGGCTAAAAAAAACAAAAACATTTTTCAACTTTTTTTTTTGTTTAACATGGGCTTTCAGTGCGTTCCAGGCATTTGCATGTGTTTTTGATGCATTTTTAGATCCAGAGCAGGTAAAATAGGGCCTGCTGCATTTTTTTTGCCTGCTCTGGATCTGCATGCTGCGATGTGAACTGGAGCTAAAAATACCATTGGACTCCTACCATTGCAGTAGAGCTAAAAATACCATTGGCAGGAGCACAATAATCTGGCAAACAGGAAGTGCAAAGTCATGGCTTAAATACATTGGACGCAGTTTTGATTCGGTCTGCACCTGCTCTGCGCTTGGTGTGAACTAGCCCTTACATTTGTCATGTTTCCAAACAGCTGGCTCTAACTCTATTAGCTCGGCTTCCTTGAACCTCATGTCTAGTACAAGATCACAAGAGGGCAGTCTCCAGCAGCTGTCCATCTTCCTACTTGGAAAAGGAAGGAAGGAGGACTGGGGAGTGGTTTGCCCTTTGTCTATTTGCGAATTTCTGGACCCACACAAACCGGTCGAAAGATTTGAGGTACAGAATGGGGCGAACCCATCTTTCTTGGGAACTGTGAAAAGCTTTGAATAAAACCCCTGCATTTTCATGGAGGATGGGGTGGGGAGGGGTGGCGAATCAGACTACGTTGCCCGCTGACAACCCTCTATCCAACTTCACTGCCTCAGGAAGCTGTCAGTAATTCCTCCACTGCTCACAAACCGCACGTAACCCTTTGGTGGCTAACACTGAATGAACTTTAAATCAATACTGCTTAATTCATTACCAGCTCTGTCGATTGAACTGTTACAAACTGCCATTGTTTGCTGGGCTCTGGTCCCACACACCTGTATATTGTAGCTTGAGTAATCCTGTTCATACCTACCACTCCCCTCAGTTAGGGCTGTGGGGAAGCATACACAAAAACTACAATAATCATCAGACACCACTGCAAGGATTGGGGGTTTGATTATATTACCTCTTGCTTGTGAGAATTAACCTGCAAAGGTAAACCACTACTGTGTTAACCCCTTGCCACTGTGGTGCATGGTGTGTAAAGAGGTTCCTACTTCACTCCTAACTACATAGAGTGTAACAGAGAACCTCCCACCTGAGCCACATAAACAAACCTCGCCCATCAAAGCATTGATCCGCAGCTGAGAACCTTAATTTCACCAATCGTTATTGCTCAACTATTACATCAGGGTATAAAGTGGAAGTCGATGAGAGTAGTCAGTGAATTAGCAGCCAAAGGTCGGTACACGGGTAGCAGTATGAGCAGATTTAATCACAGGACGAGCAAGGCAGCCAGATATTGGCAGGAGCACAATAATCTAGCACACAGGAAGTGTGCAAAATCATGGCTTAAATAGGAAGTTCAAGGGAGGAGCAAGGCACTATCCAAGGTTCCAAGATGGCTCTGCAGGTAGAACCACTGCCAGCTACACCAGAGGCCCTGGGTTCAGATCCGGTTCCTGACAGTTAGTCAGAGCATCTTCCATTCTGCACAGAGTTCAGGCAGCATGTGGTTCTCTCACATATGGAAATGTAGTTACTAGTTTTAGGGTACATACCCACCACCGGCTTGCAGAACATGATGGTGCTTTACAGGCACTAGAGAGGCCCAGCTTGACCATCAGTACTCTGCAGCTTGAATCTATTTTTATTATTCACACATGTGTGAACATTTCTTGTATAGAAAGCACATTGTTGTTCTATACCGTTTGCATCAATATACAAAAAATGATACATCGATAAAAAAATATTAAAATGTAGATGTTTAGAAAAGGAGAAAATAGTAAGTCACCAACAAGATGTACTTGAAGAATATCATTTTTGATGGTATTAATTCTGTTTATTTACACAGAACAATAGTGTATTTTCATGTCAAGGTAATATTTTCACATTCTTACAGCACAATGGCTTCAGAAATGCATTACATTTTCAGATAAAGGATCCACCTTTTGGTGGCTATCTGTATCTTACTGCCATCACAAATGCTGGCCATATACAGCTTGAATTTTGGCTTATTGCTACTGAATCAGCCACAATTCAAGCCGTGGGTGGCCCTTTTGGCAACACCTGGATTGACACATTTCAATAGATTAATCAAAGCAACTGTTTGTTGACTGAACAGCAACTGCATCCAGTATGATGCCCTCCCTGTTCAAATATTTAGATAGCTTTGGGTGCCAGCTGTCTGAATACAAAAGCTGGTAGAGAGGATGGGAGAATCTATTAGATTTGTATGCATGTATGGCTAGCTTTAGGCCCCGTTCACATATAGCGAATTGTCGCGCGATTTCGCACATTTTTGCCGTGCGATATCGCGAGAAGTCGCCGGCCAATGTTATTCAATGGAGCTGTCTTAACTCCATGTCGCGCGTCGCTCGTCGCGGTCGCAAGTCGCTTCTACCGGACCCTTTTTTCGGCGGATTTTGCGCGATTTTACTTTTTTTCTATGGAGCCCGACGGGGAAGGTCGCGCTACCGTCGCTGGAACGTCGCCCCGAAAGTCGCGATATCCCGGCCGTGCGGATCCGCTGCAAAAGGTATGTCGCTATATGTGAACGGGGCCTTAGACTTCCTGACCAACAGCTGCTGAGAGAACAACTATCATACAGAAAGGGCTGGTCTGTTGAGCTGAATTTTCACAGCATCGCACATGTATGGTGTGAACAGGGCACATAGAAGACAATTGCTTGTTTCTATGTGCCCTGTTTACATCATACATGTGGGGTGGTGCGAAGAAAAAAAAGGAGCCATGATTAGCCACAGCAGAATTGCAGACTTGCATTGTAAAGCGGAGGAGCAGTACCATTAATAATGCGAAAGAGATGTGAAGAAAGCTTCAGTCATCTAAAGCTAGCCATACATGGCTAGTGGGCTGAATTGGAGAAAATCAAAGGATTCCCCCATGCCAAACAGCGTAAATGGAAGAATCTCCACCTATTGCATCACAGAGGCTGTCTTATTAGGCAAACATGAATTGATTCTTAGAGGATGCAGTCACTGTTCCATAGTTTTACACCCTGCTCATCAAATTGTCGAGCCAGGTGGTGATGAGATTTACATTTAAGCTCTTTTGTACACCAATAAAAACACTAACATTGTAATTCACTAAAAGGGTGTAGAGTTTGGAGGAGGCAGGAGAAGTGAACAATTTAGGACAACATAGCTGATTTGGAAAAATTCTCCATTTCCCCTCACTTTCCAGTTCAGTTATATTGTCGTAGATTATTCACTTCTCCTGCCTTCTCCAAACTCTTCACCCTTTTGTGAATAACCTTGTTAAAAAGCAATATTTGCAATTAAAAAGAGGGAAGTAGGAATGCTTGAGGTTTTCAAAATGGCACATTTTCAGCGTAACCCCTTCATGACTGGGGGTATTTAGTGCTCTGGGAGTGATTATGCTCAGAAGGCTTTAACATATTTCTTTATCTTCCAGGACGGCCATAAACTGGTTGTTCAGAACACACTGGTCTATCTCACTCTGCCTTTTCCTAGTAATGAGCACAGCAGGTATACAGTGCATATAACAACCCACATAAAATGCCACACATCACTACCCTTGTGAGCTTCAATTTCAATGCAGATATCCCACCTCGTCACACATATGTGCATGTCGGGTTGTATGACCCCCTCTTACATTTGTATTTCTCTACTGAGCCACTGCAAATCTTCTCTGACAAAACAAACGTATGGAGCAAGTACAGAATCTGTTATTCTTGCTTCCTACCAGTAGAACAACTAAATCATTTTGAGTCATTGCTGCATTGCACTGCAATGATGCTTAGTGGTTGGGAGGTATCACACATCATCGACCATGTCCAGCTTCTTCATTGTTCGCCACCGATCTTTCAGCATGACTCCGGTGCGGTTGTTGAATTCAGAGTTGGCAAGTATTTTATGCCAGTTCCCCACACCATATTTTTGCACTCCTCTTTTCAAGATTTTGTCTTCATTCTGTGTCCAGGGCTACAAGTCATTAAAAAACAAAACCCACATGTAAGGTAACAGCAAAAATGGTAAAGAGCCAGATTACAATTATTCTGCAAGCACCATGCTGGCCATACACCAAACGTTACGTCCCTTTGATACACAGATAGTTTGGATGAAAGAATTGTATCTTTCAGAAATCTGTTATAATAAACATACATTCTCATCAATAAATGATGGTATTCGTCAAAGGGGATCGATCAGTCTTGATGAGAAATAGGATTGAATTGGACCACACTGATCTTTTGTTTGTGTGTCGGCCATCATTTGAGTAAAAGACAGCTCAAATACTAAGGGGGTTATTCACAAAGCTGCCGAAGACAGCCGAGTGAATAACCAAGCCAAAGTGAATTAAGCCATACTACGTTCGGCTTTTCACTCCGGCTCACTATGGCTGATTTTAGTCGTACATCGGCTGAAATCAGCCGTATATCGGCTGCCTTCAGTCAGCCGAACAAGCCGAAGTGCAGAAGGACTTCGACTCAGCCGATCCAACATCTGGATTGGCTGAGCCGAAGCTCCGGCAGCTTTACTCCCTGCCGTTCGCCCCTATTCACATAAGTGCCGAACAGCAGGGAGTGAATAGCCGAATGCTGCTGGGCGGCATTCAGCTCGGCACCTCCGTGGTACCGAGCAGAATAGAAAATCAATGAAAATAGTCGAAAAACGCATATGCCTTCGGCTCGGCTGAGCCGCCTTCGGCTGCTGTAGGGCTATAGTGAATAGCCCATACAGCAGCCCTTTGGCTCGACTGAAAGCTACGGCATGATCCTTTGGCAGCTTTGTGAATTACCCTTCAAATCTATGAATGAACAGTCTTTTTTTTATTGAACAGCTCTGTTAAGAAATGTTTAGGCATTCTCATGTTTATTTCTTTTGTTTGTATTGGTATGACATAGATATATATTTTACACATACACACATAGTCATTAATTTTTTTGTATTATTAAAACTATGTTTCTTTTGTATATGCATGTGGTCTATTATATTTGCTCTGGATAAAGTACCAGTAATGTCCCGAATAAAGGTTGCCCTATATTTTGTCTACTTATAATAGGATATGGGTACAGAGCTGAAGCTCCAGATATAAGAAGTGGACATATGGTATTCTAGTACTTACAGTAATTGAACTTATAATGCCACTAGAAAACTGTTCACAGTTGGAACTGGCCATTTTTACTGACATTTTCCAAATTCTTTGCACTGTGATGGCCTATATAGAATGTCATGAATGTTTACCCTTCAATTCTGTACATGAACAGCTTTATTATAGTGAAATGAGGACATTTAGATCATTTACATTGAGAATGGGTCAAGTTCATGCACAACAACAATAGAAAATAATACATTTTCATCATGCCAACTGGATCACCAGACAATTTATAATTCATATTTTAAAATGTAAAGAACAGTTAAACAGAATGATATATACGATAAAATGTCCAAAGAGTTATGTATAACAATTGACAATGACTTTTTCAGGACCATGTCATTGTGAGCAGTCTCCGCGTCTAGTAGAATGAGACGGCATCATTTCTACAGCCACTAGAAATGACAAAGTGTCTTTGTAGTATCTTCATGGGTGGCATGCACATAGATGATCTTTTGGCTGTGAATTCTCATATCTGCCCAGTTACATGGGCATACAATACAAATTTTGCCATAGAGATTCTGAGAGCCGAGGATTGGGCTCAGAGATTTGCTGCATATGGCTTAACACTTTTCCCAGTGATAATATACTTTTTACACTTTCTGTCAAAGCACATTTGAAGAAAAAAAAACTTTTCTCTTCTCATTGTTGAAAAATATTTCAACTTAGGGTGCATTTACACTGGAATTGGAGCCAAAAACGCAAGCAAGTATTCACCTTTCTGCCCTGTGTAAGCAAAGGTGGGGATGCTAGACAATGGAACACACTGGCCTGCAGTTTCACGGGGGTAAGGTTTAGGGCTGCTCAGAAAATAAGAGTATAGAAAGCCACAGAGATCTAGCCAGACGTGCAATCACTTGTACTAGACAGGTTCAGAGCCAAACAGGTTTTTCGTTGTGATGGACTTTAAATGCAAAAGGTTCACAATGTCTGTTTCGCTATTTCAGGTATATTCTAGTGCCTTATAAAAAGGATATGATCGGATCTGCTTACAAAGAAAAAATAAACCGTAGCAGGTTATTAATGCCATGTGACTTGCATTGTATTATGAAGAGAAGTTTGTGTATGTAAATGTGCAGTGTTAGCCTTGTGTAACTGTTAATTCTAATAAACAGAATCAAAAAATGATATACACCTTGCAACAATAGCAGATAAAAACAGCAACGTAATACAAGCATGAACTACATAATAAAGTAATGGCACCATCTAGTGTACAGCCAGTGTAATTGGCAAGATGTGCAGCTAGGAACAGATGAGTGACAGCAGAAAAAGACCATGTGGCCCCACTTATTATCCAACCTTTATGTATAGTGTTATATAGAGCATATACCCATGTTTGTATAGATTTAGTTCAAATGACACCCAGAAGTGCTATGATCATGTATTACTTTTACATCAAGCTGAGCACTTCAAAGCAGTGAATAGACTGGTATTTATGCTGCCTAGCTCAAATAGCACTCATAAAAACTCACAACCAGTATTATAGCCCCTAGTCTCTCTCACTTGTAGAACTTCAGAACAGGGGAGTTTTTAGCAATCACAAATGAACAAATTCAATTTAAGCGACAGTTGCCAGGATACAGCACAATGGAACAAGCAGGAAGCAAAGATGATTTCCCAGGGTAATACATACCACAATTTAGAAGGGTTTTTTTCAACATTTTGAAAGAAACTAATGCAATACATGCAATCAAAGACCTCTTAGGATACAACAAAAAAGAAAAAACTTTTGTAAAGACTACCTGTTTTTTCTTGCTTGCTCCAGAACTTGAGGGCTTTTCATGCTTTGTGGGCAATACGTTTTCTTGATCGTCGGTGCTTACTTTTTCTGTGTACACAAACATATTGGAACATTGGAGTGAACCTAAACCCAGAAACAAAACTGTAGTATATTACAGCTCAGCCATCCTTAGATGTGGGGCCTGTATTAGTTAATTTCTTTCTGGCTTTTTTTCACCTGGTGATCATGCCAGTAACACACTTCCTGTTCAAGTGTGACAATGCTCACTAACTACTGTATCTATGGATGAGCAGTGTTCTAGGACAAGACTAGAAGACACCTCCTTCCCTCCTTTTTCTCATAACATGGGGAAGTGTTTTCACAGAGATAGCTGGAAAAATGTAAGAGGTAGCAGGCAGAGAGCACAGGAAATTATTAGCTTTGACATGGTCAACAGGTATGTTTGCACTTATTGAACAGATAGGACATAACACTCTCAATGTCATATGTAACAGAGGAAAGGGAAGCAAAAATAAATAAAATAAAAAAAGTTAATTGTTAGGGTTTACATACACTTACCTCCACTTTTACCTCACGTCTCTAATAACTATATAAAAACACACCCTAATATCACTGAACATTTTTAAGTTTTATCTGCTAAAACCATGCTTCTTTTTTTTTTTCTCCTATAGTATGTCACAGGCCATGTCCTCTCTGCTTTGCTAGAAAAGTTCACATCTAATATTTAAGTCTGTTAAAAAGGCAAAAGGAAGTGTGGTGATATGTTTTGGCACCATAAGAAAAAATACAAAAGTCTACAAGGAGGAAGCCTTGGAAATCAAAGTAGCTCAATTTTACCAGAATTGGGTCAATAAAGGAAAATTAAGTCCTGAGTATTAATTGGCTCCAGTTTCCAAGGTACAGCTTCAGGTCAAAATTGCATCAAAATTATGATTATGCTCCATACATTTTCTGCAAAATGTGATATAGCAATGAGAATGGTGCCACGTCAATCATTATAAATATATATTTTTATTGATCCCAATAACATAACTTTCCATTCATTTATTGGCTTTTCATGTAACATTTTCATGCTTTTTGCACACTATTGGGACTGCGAAAGGCATGGACTTTTTCTTCTTGTTTAGGCAATGACGCAGATAAGATGCACATGTAGTGCAACAATAATGAAGGGCTCAACTCTTGTCCTGATCCCCCATTTTGCATCCAAAATATAGGTGGTATGCCTTTTTTTACCACTGCCGTCATACCGCACTTTTGAGAGGCATACATAATATCGACACAAATGCAGGAGAAGTTATCTGCGTTGTTTACAGTTTCGAGGCATCTTGGCTTCTGAGGGAAAATATCACGCAACTGTTCCTTGGAAATGTTAGACATTGACACTTCCACAAGCCACCAGATGTAACTGTATGATGCGTAGATCTGACCAGACAAATGTACTTTGCAATTAAAGAACAATAAATTACAGTTAGGTAATAATCTTTAGTCGCAAAGTAAAGATACATTTATACACTTCCATGTGGTACCATTCCCATTGTTCTACCGTACTTTGTCGAGAAGTTACGAGGCATCACGATCATCAGACACCTCCCTCCCTTGTTTATTGCGAAATATCTTGAAAACTTTAGCCAACCAACCAGCACCTTTATCACCTGTTTTGTAATTCATCTCATCAAAATATGTAAGAATTAACAAAAATTTTTCTCGGAGGTCGATAATTTCCCAAAATTTGTAGACCAGTGATATTAGCATAATTAGTGTAGATTAAAACACCTGAGGAAAGCTTACAATCAGATTGTTCAGTGACTAAACACTGGCCCTGTATAACTCCAAGATTTTTTTAGCAGGTAGCACAAGAGTGAATCACAGAAAAGAGAGGGGAGGTTTCTGTTAGGGATGCACCGATATTGATACTAGTAATCGGTGCCGATAACGAGTATTTGGGTGAGTACATCCCCAAATGCTCCAATACCTAGCACGAGTACTTCCTGTATCAGGAAGCCGGGCAGCGCATCATTACACGCTGCCCGGTTTCCTGATTGGCCAGGAAACGGCTCCATGCTCTCTCGTCACTTGTGATGAGAGAGCATGGAGCCGACTTCCCGGCCAATCAGGAAGCCGGGTAGCGTGCAATGACGCTCTGCCCGGCTTCCCGACTGGTCAGGAAGCTAGCAAATCCCTAAGCCGTGTAATGACGCAGCGCCCGGCATTCTGATTGGCTGGGAAGCCGGCGTCATGCTCCCCCATCATCTCATGAATCATAATATTAAGAAAGTGACCTTAAAGCATTAGTTTGTATTGCTTTAGAAAAAATGTGCCTGTCCCTTTAAGAAAAAGTATCAGTAATTGGTATCTGCGAGTACTTGATCAAAAGTATAGGTACTCATACTCGGTCTTAAAAAAGTGGTATCGGTGCATCCTTAGTTTCTGTAATGTACTCCAAGAAAGATTTTACAGGTAAGACAAAAAAAAACTGTTTTCTTTATCATATGTCACCAGGACACAGACCGTTAATTCTGGATCCAATAGAATGTCTAAAAGCAGTCCAAAAGATGGACAGGCAACACAGCAAACAGGCCCACAAACAACAACAAAAACTCCAATAGGGAACTATAACAGAAGGGCCCAAATATCAGAGGGCCACCTGGAGAAATTTACAGCCGAAACTAGCATCCTCAGAGGCCGCAAACTCCAACTGGTTAAACTTGGCAAAAGTGTGAACAGAGGATCAGGTCTGCTTACAGAATTGTGAAGCGAAAGCATGATGTTACAAAGCCCTGGAAGCTTTAATACTCCTAGCAAAGCAAAGCAGTGAGCAAAGCAAAGCTCTGGAAAGGGGGAAACCTTACCCAGCGATAGTGGAACTTTAGTAAAGCAGGCTGCCCCAGACGAGTACCCTTAGGAATGACGACGAAGGAGTCAGACTTGTGGATGGAAACAGAAACTGAGAGATAAACACAAATAGCCCTAACCACGTACAAACAGTGGAAATAAATGTCTTCTTTAGGATCCTTAGAAGGACATAAGGATGGTAGGACAATGCCCTGGTTAAGTTAGAAGGCAGAGACTACCTTAGGAAGAAAGGAGGCCCTAGGCCTCAGCTCTACCTTATCTAGGAAAAGCCTGGCCTTGCTGGACAAGTGAATGGGGAGGCCAAGGGACTGAGCCTGCTTGTTCCACACAGCCAACATGCTGAGCTGCAATTGACCCTGGGCATCAGGAATGTCTGGACCCAGGAAGCCGAGAAGGCCAACAGCCATCTCCCCACTAGTGAAAGTGGGTGAACTCCTTCATAGTGAAAAGGGTTTCTTCCCAGGGCATATGTTCCAGGTGCTTGTTTTACAAAAGCTCTGCAGACCAGCCTATAACCCATAGGATCAATCATACAAAGATAGACAGGGGACCCATTTTGGAGACCTGCCTCACAGTAGAGCAGGGACATAGGAAAGAGCTCTTGCCATTTTAGAGTGGCAGGGCCTGCAAGATGGACCCAGGGTCCCTAGCCATAGCTCTTGACCACACAAAAAAGGTGTGACATGCTGTCATTGCTACAACAGCAGGTTGCATAGCAGGGCATGCTAGGGCAAATAGGCCTTAAAGAGGGCTTCTAACCTCCTGTCCTTGAAAATAGGAACATCCTCTACAGGGACTGATAAAATCTTGTTCAAACAAGAGAAAGTTCTATGACAGGGACATCCCATTTTTTAAAGAAAGCATCTTCAATATGGTATTGATAAGCAAACTGTTGAGATGTAAACAATTTTCCCGGGGATCCCAGTCACCGCACAACACCAGCTGTAAAAGGAAACAGGAAAGGTTTTGGCTTGGGACATTTTAAAGAAAACCAGACTAGTGATCTTTGGTAAGGCCGACACAGGCACTCTAACTGCAAACAATTACACACGGTGTCCAAAAGGGCAGAAAGTGCGTCATTGAGCTTAGGAGAGGTGTAAGGAGACATGTCCTCTTCCACAGAACTGCTAGCAGAACCTATTTCTTAATCTTAAGCTCTGTTCACACCGAGGCGTATCGAATATGCGCGTTTGTTGCACGTTTTTACCGCGATTCGCGGTAAAAAATGCGCGACAAACGCGCATTTCCGAGGGCTACTTGGCTGTATCCCAATGGAAACTCGCGACAAAAACGCAGCAAAGAAGCAAAGGTGCAGTCTGAGGTCTCTAAATTTATGGGCAAAACATCTGAACTATTAGTCATTACTAAGGCAATTACTCTCTGGATAGCAGGGTAGAGGCAGGTATCCTGAAAGCTGCTGAGGAAGACCCTGAGGTGGAAGCGATGGGGAAAGAGAGCAGTGCATAGAACCTTCCGTAGAACCGTTGTCAGGCTGTGTGGCCCCAAAGAGCCTTGAAGTAGAAAAGTGCTGAAAAGGGTTTCCCTTTCTCAGAACAGGGAGAAGGCATTCAATGTCTAGGGACACTAGCAAATCTGAGGCAGGCCAATGTCCAATCACCTGAAGGTAGCTGCATAACTCATTGGTTCAAAACTTTACCTCTCTGTGTCCTGCAATGTACAATCAAGAAATCAGCCTGTTTGTGATGTTCTTTTTTTGGTTCCTTTGATTTATTTTCAGGTCAAAATAAAAAGGAACTGGGTATGCATTTCAGAAATAATGCAGCGCATTATTCATTAACTTTTTTGTTGTTGTTGTTATATGGCTAATGTCACACGAATTCCATCAAGCTTACATTCATTCCATCATACCGTCGTAGCTGAAATTTCACTTAAAGAGAACCAGTCAATAAGTGTAATAAGCATTTGTAAAGAAGTGAAACTCCAGTCTGCTACTTCCATCACAGATTCCTTGATTTTTTTATTCTTTACTTGTATTATGTGCTTGTGAGAGGAGAAGAGCCAGATTGTAAGGTCATCTGAACTACTGTCTGCTTTTCTTTTTTTTACCCTCCTCTGGCAGCCCAGATTGAGTGTCAGGTATTAGCCCTGAGTTCAGGCCGGGGAGCAGGCAACTTTCACGAGGGCCTTACAGCCTGACATTTCCATTCTGATGGGAGCAGAATACCAAGACAAAACAAAAAAAGTAAAGAGTAAAAAAAAAAAAAAAAGAAACGAAAATGTAATGCATTGGTATAAGAATGGAGATTCTGATACTTACACATGTCCATTGCAGATGTGTTCGCTTTAATCTCCTGTAAAGCATTGCATTTGGAACTTGCTAGAACTATGAGGTGAGTGAAAAGCACTCACCTCATAGTTCTCCTTTAATGGATCTGAATTAAAAAATGCAATAAAGCATTTTGCAATACCACTCTTTAGTAACATGATTGTCTGAATGAGCCCTTCTAGGAAAGATGACTTCTTTACTCCCTGGCTATGCAGATGTATGAAAGACTTCCCAGTATATAATGGTATGGTTAAAAAAGGGCAAACTAACGTTAAAAGTAAGCAGATTAAAGCTGTGATTTTCTGCAGGAGGATAGAAAGTAAAATGAGTAACTAGGCAATTAAAGCAGTTTTCTTTGCTCTATTGTGTAGAATCCTGTCTCCTGACCCAAGTGTAACAGTTCTAGGAACAATCTGTCTCTCTGTAGGATTGCTGCTGCAGATACTTATAATGGTATGTTGCTATGCAACAGGTTTATTAGTATTAAATAGAAAAGACAACCTAATTTCTCTTTTGCAAACTGAAGTAAAGGTACATGAATACATCATTTTCTAAGCTCTAGGTGACATTACTTTGCACTTGAACAAATTATCTACAATGATCTAATGCTACACAAGCAAAGCATAACTACATTTTATTTAGTTTTAGAGCAAAGTAGCTGTAGAAATTATCCCCAAAAGGTAGGCAGAGGATAAAGGACTAATCACCAGTATTGCCTGCGGTCTCCCTGCATGCGATCTTTCTCCATTACGGAATTACCATGCCTTGTTCTGCACTGTTCCCTTGTGTGGAGATGGCCATCTATGTAGAGTCAGGGGGTTTTGTTTCCTCATGTTAGTGCCGCCAGCAAGGAAAACAGTGAGTAGCAATGTAGTCACATCCCTAATACTCACTCTAAATTGTCTAAGGCTAGCAGTCAGAGGCAGCTGTACCTTAGATCTTACACTGCAGATATACAGTTATGAGTATATAGGCACAGGGGTTGCAAGGCACACTCACACAAGAGGAGGTGCACTGCTATTCAGAAGAAATTCCATACAAAAGGTGCATTTTGTCATTGTGCTGCTTAGAGACAATAACACTTATAGATATTCCCTATACCACAGCAAATCTTCATTTTTAGCGTTTATGCTCCAAAGTGTCACTTGATGTTTTATGAACATTTTCTTCTTCCTGAGCAGTCCTGATGGAACAAATGCAGATATAAATCTTAGCACGTCCCAGTCAGAGCATTGCAGCAGAAATGTTCCTAACTTTTTACCAAGTCTTGACCAAGATGGAGAGATGTGAAGTTTCCTCTCACTTCCTGGTGTATGTTATTTTCCACCTTTACAAATGCTCTGTTATTAGGCGAGGAGTTTTTATAGATTAACGTGAACCTATACTCCATTTTAACATTTCAAAATGCATTGCAGGTTTAAGGAATACACCTCAAGTGACCTACTGTTAAAGTGACATTAAACCTTCAGGGTTTTTTCAATAATGGGGGCCAGACTTACTATATAAAAAAAAAAAAATGTTTTGTTTTGTATCCAGACAACTAGGCCCCCCTCCTGTATCAGCTAGAAGACTGCTGTGGAGGCACCCATACATGCAGGGTAACGGCTGTGCCCGCACCTAACTGTTTGCGTCCATAGAGACACACACAGCGTGCGGACGGCCATGCCTACAGTCACAGCTTGACTGACGGCAGAAGGAGCCTATGGCTCCTCTGCCCTCAGTACCCTCCCACGCAACCAGGAAGATCGGGCAAACTCGTGCATCTTCCCGGTTTGCAGTGGAGGAGACGAGCGGCTGCAGGTAAGTGTGGGGGGACGGGGTGCTAGGTAGACATGTGCACTGCCAAAAAATTCGTTTAGTTTCGTTTCAAATTCGGATTTGTGTTATTTCGTTTTTCGGGATTCGGGTGTGAAAGTCAATTCGGATTCGGACGAAATTCGGTAGCGTTAGTTCGAACGTTCGTTTCGTTTTCTGTTCTTATTCGTTTCTTATTCGTTTCGTTCGTTCGTTTGCAGCAAAGTGACATTTGAAGGGGGAAAAATATTTTTCTCCTTCTCTATTGTCACTTTGCTCCAACGAACGAAACGAATAAGAAACGAAAAAGAACAGAAAACGAAACGAACGTTCGAACTAACGCTACGAATTTCGGAAATGGAAATTCGTATTTGTTTGCATTCGTTATGTCTGTAATTCGGATACATCCGAATGTCCGAAAATTCGTCCGAATTTCGATTCGGAACGAAACGAATCGCACATGACTAGTGCTAGGAGAGTGCTGGGTGTGTTTTTGCCTTAATACACAGAATGCATTAAGGCAAAAAAAACACCCAGCCTTTAATACTACTTTAATTTTGTTATACAGAAATTAATTTTCTATTCTGATTTAGATTCTGATCTAAATCTAAATTCTGATTTCGATTTACTTTGAGAACTGACCCTCTCCTACTTCCCTTCCAACTGCCATTCTATGGGAGAGTCAGATGAGACTGCCTCATTAACCAGTAGTAATTTGGAGCACCTCACTCCTAGAGAAGGGGCAATGCCTATGTTCCAAGAAGGTTAGATGTATTGCACTCTGAAAGGTAATGAGGGGAATTTATAAAAACTGGAGCAGCTGTGCATGGCAACCAATCAGCTTCTCCGTTTCATTTTCAAATCTTAACTGAACAAACTGAAGAGAGAAGCTGATTGGTTGCCATGTACAGCTGCTCCAGATTTTGTCTGCTCCAGTTTTGATAAGTTCCCCCCCATGTGGTTTGTGGAGCTTTGCCCTCTTCATCAGGACTACATATTACAACCATGTAGGTAGCTGATGAATAAGGGTGAAAATAAATTGACTAGTAAGAGCACAAAAGCAGGAAGACCCCCTTGGAGACATAATCAGACAGCCGAAAACCCTAAAAGCAGTAAGTAAGTAAGAGCAGCCTTATTGTACAGGGGAAAGGCAGTTGATGGAGCGTACCTATTAAATTGGGGAAAGTCAGTAACAAAGTGAAACTAAATAAGAGATGTACAAGAGGCTTTTCTGACATAAAAATATAATAGAAAGCACCTTGTGATGTTTGCTCTTGTACTTGTAAAAGTTCAAATGGGAGAACAGGTCAGTTTAAATATGTATTATGGTCTTTACTCACTTAAAACTGGCTTCTGCAATATCCTGCTGGTAAGGACTGGCTTATCTGGATGCCACGGTGTGGCCACTCCTAAGGAAAATAATCGCCTTTGAGACCTACAACAAGAGTCACAACTAAAAGTTACATATGTGCTGGTATGCCTTGGCAGCAGTCCTTTCAAAAACATGCTTCTTACCTCTCTGTTGTTTTATCTGAAGTCTGTAATTCTTCCTCCATTTGATCATCAGCCCCTACTTGATAACTAGTCAATAAGAAAATGAAAAGTCAACTTACAGTTGATAAATATTACTATACATTAGATAAATATTAGCAAAGAACCACATTTTTAAATGTATTGCGTTTGGAAGAATATTGAGGCTTGAATTACTAAGAGGGTTATTCACAAAGCTAGCGGAAGGATCAGCCGTAGCTCCGGCAGATCCTCCGGCTCGATTCGGCCGCCGAAGCCCTTTGGTTCAGCCGAACCGAAGGGCTGCTGTACGGGCTATTCACTATGACCCGTAAAGCTCCCGAAGCTGGGCGAGCGGCTCAGCCGAGCTGAAGGCATATGCTTCGGCTGAGCCGAAGTGACAGCCGAAGTGGGGCGAACGGCTGGTCATTGGCCGGCCGAAAGCCTCGCAAGAGACAGCTGGGCGCACAATGTATGCACACATTCGCGAGGGGCTGGGGACTTTTTCTTTCTTTTTATTTGTTTAAGTTTTTTTTTTTTTTAACTGAAGTCCATCACGTGGGAGGTGACATTTTCTCTTTAAGGTGACATTGGGGGTCTATCAGACCCCTAGTGTCACCTTTCCACTTCAAATTGCAATAACCAATAGCAGGCTGGCTATTGCACCCCCCCAATCCCTGCTGTCTTTTAGCAGAGGAGGGACCTGAAGGAGAAAATTCCGGTCCCTCCCCTGCTGTGTCCTCTCCGATCCCTGCTGCTCCCTTTCTCATTATCAATTAGTTAGTTACAGCCCTAGTCCCCATCATACACACATTATCTACCTGAAAAAAATAAAAAATAAACTTACTTTTGTACATCAGCACTGTTCTTCTGTTCATCCATTTGCTCACATTCACTAGAAGAATTTCTGTCTCCCTTCTCCAAACTATAAAATGATAAGCAGATTTAAACACTTAGTTGTATATTAGAAGCATACATGAAACACATAGGATATTCTTGAATTCTAGATTAATTCTTCTCATATTAAATGAATTCCCCTCATTTATTTTCCTGAAAGCAAAGTAATGTGGCAAGTGTATGGGCTGAGGCAGCAGGGATCCGAGGAGAAATGTAGCTCTGCAGCTGGAGGAGGGAGCCGCTTGTCAGGATGGCCGAGCGGCAGTAGAGCAGAGACTCTGTCATCCTGTCAGTTTTGGGATTACAGCGGCTCTGTGTGTGGCCGAGCAGAGGATCAGTAAATATCTGTGATATTTACTGATCCTCTGTGATATTTACTAGGGATGCACCGATATATCGGCCGAAAATTGCACTTTTGGCATAATGTAGAAAGTGCAATTTTCCTGCCGATAGATCGGCGCATCCCTGCTTTCTTTCCTCCACGCTGGGCGCTGCTGTGTCCCAGCGGGGAGGAGAGAAAGTGTGACAGCCGGCCAAACGCGGCAAGAGGAGAGCGTTGTGAGCGCCCAACGTCTCTCCTCCCACACTGCCCAGCCTCCTATCACAGTCTGGCAGAGTGGTGTAGGGGCGGAGACAGTGATCGCAGAGTGTTTGAACATAATTGAGGACGTAGTATTTTGACTATGATCCTCAATCATGAATGAATGGCAGTGATCTACATCACCTCCTGTTCATTCATTAAAGTGGTTATAGTAAACATACTCTGTCCTCATGTTATCAACGAACAGGAACACTCAGTATAGAGGATTACTGTTCATTGATAACAGGGGATGCAGAAAAAGAGATTGAGTACTCTGTGTTCTCAATCTCTTTTTCTATTTTAAAAAGGGAAATATCAGGGGTCTGTTTAGACCCCTAATATTTCCCCAAAGCCCCTAAAAGTAAAGTATAAAAACATTTTTTTTATTTAAAAAAATTAATAAAAATAAATATAAAAAAATTAAAACGTTTATAAAAAATAAATACAATATTTAAAAAGGAGAACTATGGGGTCAGTGCTTTTCCCCATAGTTCTCCTAAGGGTCACGGGAGGACACAAACTAGCGTCCTCCCGTGACCTAAAGCTCAGTATACCGCGAGCTGCAGCCGGGACGGATCCCGACATCGATCCGCCCAGCTGCGTGATTGACAGCTGGCTCTGCCTATCTGGAGGCAGAGCCAGCTGTT